AAAAGCCAAGACAAAAGGCCCCTTACTGCAAGTAGGGTTAGAGAATACTGACGAGATGCATTATTGAACAGAGGTAAACAAAGACCCCAATGCACTGTGCAATACTCGCATTCACATGTAGCTTCAAACTATCACATGGAATGATGCAAGTGAGTACTTTGGCAGCACTCCACTGCAACACATTGGATGTATTTTTCAAAGCAAAGTAGTGTTTTCAGTTTTCTACGTGGGCAAATAAATGGCTACTGCACTAAAGTGCAAAATCCGATCTCAGTCGCGGGGAAAACCCAAAGGTAGATTTTGCTTGGGACAGAGCAAAAATTGAAGCTCAGATGTTTGTTGCTGCAAAATCCCAAAGCTTTATCCCAGGACAGCTGGAGCAGAGTATATTTCCATCACTCACTCTAATTACAGTGATTCGCTGACATATCAGCAGAGACAACAATCCGTATTTCTTCCAAATAGCTTCCAGACTCCCGACTTTCCTGTACCCAGGAGGAATACGCTCTTCTTTCCTGACCCCTCCATGGATGTTGGTTGGGGATGTGTTAAAAGTCGCTGGATGCAAAACATCATAATGATTACACAAAAATCTACAGAGCAGGCTATTTACAAAAAATACCAAGTGAAAAGCGGTTACCTTCTGTTGCCTATGAGTGTGTGTATCCAAGCCATCTGGAGAACTTTGACTGAAGTCCAGTTTGGCCGAGAGTAGCACCAATTCCAGTTTCTAACGCCTCAGTAGTAAATGACTAAAGACTCGTCAGATTATGGTTCATGAAGGGAGTCTATAAAGTTGTACTTCCTCGTAAGACCTTTGCACTTCGGTAAGAGTTTTTTTTACTTGAATCTTCACACTCATACATTTCCCTTTGGAACCATAGCTCCCTGGATGTAAAATAATATTGAAATCAATTTCAGCTGCACTTGATTTAATTAGAAGGGCTAGAGAGTTCTCGCTCCTTGTTGTCAACACTCCTTACCTGGAATTGGCTTCTGGCTTTGCCTTTCAATTTCTACCCAATATGTTATCTGAGCTCTGTTTGTTTGGAGATAGTTATTTGGCCTTTCTTTCCTACCCAACCCAGACCAGAAGAGAAATAGAGGTTCATTCATATTCATACCCATTCAGCATTTTGTTTTTTCAGAGACAATATCCCTCAGATTTTACAGTGTTGTTTGTGGAGAAATCACAGTTCAAAATGTCAATTTCTACGTGGGAAACAAATAACAATAATAATATTAATCCTTGCCTTTGAGATAGAATATGAAATTTGAAATTCCTTGAAGCCCTCCAGAGGAAATTGTCAAATTTCGCAAGTGTATATTTGTAGGCAAACGTAGCAACCAGTTTGTACACAGCTAGGTCCAAAAAACATCCTACAAACAGACAAGGTGAAACTCATTTCAACTAAGTGAATGGAATCTTGCAGCAAGATCTTGACTTGAGTATTAAAACAAAACCTTTGCATTTGATATAGAACTTTTGACAACGGGAGAACATCTCAAAGCGTTTCACAACACTTACTTTGTAGGTGAACAAGGCAGCCAATCGGGAGATTGTTGGCTGGGACACTGGGATCTCTTAACATCCATCTGAACAGGCAGATGAGACCTTGGTTTAACATCTCATCTGAAGTACAGCTCCTCAGACAATTCAGTCCTCACCCAGTACTGCATTGGAGTGTCGCTGAGATGTGGGGTTTAAATCCACAACCTTTTGACTCAGAGGCAAGAATGCTGCCAACTGAGCCAGGCTGAAAAAGTAGTTTTGGCAGTCGCGATGCAATTGAAGTTGAAAACTCTTGAAAATAACATTTGGTGTAAGACTGTTTAGCCTCAGTGGCTCCAGGAGATTAGAATATCTAATGTAGGGAAACAGCAGTCACTCAGTTTGAGGATTTCCATTGTCAGAAATGTAGATTGTTTGGACTATCTCACATCAATTGTGTTAACCTTTTTCAAGATACAATTCATGTTTGAAAAGTAGTCTCTTTTTTAAGCCAGTAATATTTATTCCGAGCCTTTGTTTTACTGAGCGAGGATTAGAACGAGCGGCCTCAACACTTAAATTTTATTGCAAATAAAGCTATTCAAACGACATAAAAAATTAATTTCAAAATCCATATTCATAAAGCTAGCACTATGCATGGTATCTAGATTTCAGTTGCATTTGATGTCAAAAGGCTGCATCAGCCTTTGTAAATATGAATGCAGAAAACTTGGCTTTTTCCCAATAACGGTTCATAGTATTGATATAACCCACACATTGTTTTGCTGCAAATATTTTCCCCTGTAAAATTGAATTTACACGGCAGTTTCAATTGCTGCCTCAACACAAAATGTATCGATAGTTAACCTGCAGTGTCCAGTGACTAATCTTGAGCTCACTTGCCTGGTAACTTGGTAATTATTTTTCTATGACGAACAGAATAGCCCGTGCAATTGATAAATATTAATATTGTCTTATTACCAAGGAGAAGTGGGCTCTGATGATTAATCATTGTGCTGAGTAACAGATGTCAGAATGTGAGCATACTGTTTATTAGTGGAATTATGCATCATTAAGTGCTACCTTTAAACCAAGCTGAGAATATCAATTTTTGTTGTTAAGGGACTTCAGTTTGCCAATTACGTTTTATTCAATCTGGCAGTTTACAGACAGTCCAGCAATAGCACTGCGTGTTGTAAGGTGCTTCCATTACACACAATTCTGTGTTGCAATTTCTCATTTCATACGGTTTAATAAGAAAAAAATAAAATCTATACCAATGGTTTAGAAAAAACTTGCTGGGGATTTATGAACAGTTTAAGGCGCTTATAAACCTGTTCAACAGCACCTAGCAAGTGATCAATATAAAATTAATATGTTTGGCCTATGGAACTACTTCTTCCATAGGAAGCAATGTGTGCAGTGTCTGAATGGCAAATTAATTTTCACAGTAAGTTTTCTAAACTAGCGACGAAGAATGTGATCTGGAGATGCCTCAGCCAAGCTTCAAAATACATAACTGTGATGGAAAGTGCTGTTAAAGCAACACCCGAAAGCGCTTTTTTTTAAAAAAAATTGTAGGTTTCGCGGAACCCGTTCCGAACTTGAAACTTACGAATTTTGTTTTTTTATAGTGCAGAAAGAAATGTGCTGCGATTTAAGATAGAAAGAACTGCATTAGGTTGACATACAATGGAATATTAATCTCAAAAGCTGTGCTTAAACCTTGTTAAGGTTAGAACGCAGGGCTTCTGCCAAGAGTCTTGAAAATAGCAAAAAGAATAGGCGGTGCTCCAGATTTCTGGCTGCACTACAGTGACTTTTGTTTTAACCTTGGCATTTAATCAGCATTTAGTTGAAGTGCAAAACAAGTGTCCTGAACCATTGTTAAAACATTTATTGGATGATATTTTTAAATATTCACCAAAAATGTCCACTGAAGTTTTTTTTGATGTGAAACAGAAATTCCCGATAAGTTTTTTTTTATTCATGGCTTTTTATTTTAAAATCCCGATAAGTTTCCGAAAGTTTACTCCATCACATTATCTTGACAGTGGTTTACATTTTCTTCCGCTGGGGAATGCAGTGATTCTAAAAACCATTCCAACTTTTGGTTTTATTTAACGCCTGCGTTTAAAAACAAACCTTATGAAGCGTATTTATTGCTTGCTCTTTGGAATCGTGAATCCCTCGTTTATATAATTACATCAAACTATTTTTTGTCTTAATATTGGACAAAGAACAAGGGATCCGAAAATTCTCATGCCTCCAAGTGTTGCAAGTTTGACAGTGTGCACTACCACAGCTGAATACCCCTGTTAATGCACATCAGGGTTGTCAGTGCACTTAGCGGCATGAGGAATTGTCTTGCCCAAGGTTTTCTGATATTTTTAAACTTCTATTTACTGTGCATTAAGCCAAAGAGATGTAAAAATGAGTCCAAATGACTTAGAAATTACCACTACCCTGAACCATGGGTGTTTGCCTTTGCAATTCTTCACTTGTGTTTGGAAAGGCGATTTAACAGGACGGAATCTGTGATGGAATTTTTAATTGTATACCATTTTAAAGTAAGCAAGTGCGTAACCTCCAGATAATGACTATTAGCAGGACTCTGGTAATTGGAGAACTTGTGAACAAGGAGGGACAGAAGGGTGAGGTGTTAAACATGGGTGATATACTTTTCACCTGAACCCTTTTTGCCTCCACCGCCGTGCCAGCCTGAACCTCGTCAGAGTAATTGATGCCGTTATCNAAAAAAATTGAAAAGTGACACTTCCAAAGCAATTGACAGAGATGACATTCCATTAATTTGTTAACGCAATTCGCAAGCGATTGTCACAGATGAAACACCTTTTCCCCACGATGCCTTCATTGGTGCTTTCCTTCCTGCCGATTTGCAGTCAGATTTAATTTGGAAACTCTGTTCCTTCGGCAAATTAGCAATTAGAACAATTTTGTGGAAATATGTATATGTGTCATTAGTTTTCCTCCAAATTAATAGCAGGAGCAGAGGTCAGCCTGAAATTTTCCAGTTGACTGGAGTGGCTCTGTTGAGATTTGAGCTTGTTTGGAATGGCTGCAGCTGCAAGCCAGAATGGAGCAGCTGCTTACAGCCACTCTGTTTCCGAGCTCCACTTTAATTAGTTTACCTCACATAGCCATTATTGTTAATATCGCTGCCTCCCCCTCAAAAAAAAATTACTGTTTCGAAAAAAAATCTTCAGACATCTTGTGTCACTACAGGCTGATGATGGGGGTCAGTTTGATGCAGCGTTTAATCATTAGATCACCTCCATAAGCATCTCCTAATTAGAGTCCTTTCAATACAATTTCATCTTGTAATTAGCGGAGATTGTCTGCTTCCTCTGTAGCTTATTAGTGCCAGCGCAGTGGTGGGTGTGAATCACACTGTTATTTGTCAAGCCTGTTAAAGCTTTCCCTTTTCTCCTGTCTCTTCTTTTTTTTCCACCATTACCCAAATCTCAACCCCAATCCATCTTTGCAGCTGAACCTAGTGTCGAGTGTCACATTGTCAAAGACTGCATCTGAAGCATCTCCGCAGAGCTTACCTCACACCCCCACCACACCGACAACCCCCATTACCCCTGTCACACAGGGAGCTTCTGTTATTACCCCAACCAGCATGCACAGCATGGGGCCCATCCGGAGGAGATACCCAGACAAATACAATGTGCCAATTTCCTCAGGTAGGACAGTTTGTGCCTCAAGTGCTCTGTGCAGGTCGGTCACCGTTGCTTTTTGGTAGTTATTTAGTGATAGATTGCCCGTTAAGATTCTAATTGGAAATTTTATTGTAATTTGCTTTTATTTCTATTAGAAAAAAATCGATTTTAATAGCGTATATACCTGATTGCATTGGTCTGCTACAAACTTGTACGTTCATTTTTACAGATATTGCTCAGAATCAAGAGTTCTACAAGAATGCAGATGTTCGACCTCCATTCACATATGCTTCTTTAATAAGGCAGGTGTGTACGGCACTGTAGTTTCTGACAGAACAATTCAGATCCTCAGATATTTATTAAATAAGAGCACAAAGGTTGTCAAACTCTAATGACTTAAAATTCACGAAAACTAACGTGTAAGTTGATAAATGACAAGTGGTATATCGTGTGACTGATGAAAACACTACAGCACCAAGTGTTATGCATCTTGCTTTGCTAATGCTAATCCTTGGTTTTTACAGCAGTGCAGAATTATAAAGATGTTCATTTAGCATACAGCAGGAAATAATCAGAGCTCTTATTTTTCTGACATGCTTTAATAATCCACATCTTAAAAATCTACATTTCAAACCACATCAGTTCAGGAATGTAATTGATATTTTCTCATCTTAAATTTGTATAGTTTCATTAATGAATTCATTTCAAATACAAGATATGTGATTATCATAACACAAATTGTGCTCTTGTGTCTTTGTCCCAGGCAATTCTTGAATCTCCAGAAAAGCAGCTAACACTAAACGAAATATATAACTGGTTTACACGAATGTTTGCCTACTTCAGACGCAATGCAGCTACGTGGAAGGTAATCAATCATAATTAAATATGAAAGTGTCCTCATCAGTTCTTTTCGTTTTTACTCTCGGCAGGCCTGGCCATTCTGCGATCCATGGTAAACAAGACGTTGTATCTGACTTTGCATTTCTTTTGCCGAACGTAATCGTCAGATTTTGCCTACTGGGTTAATCTGCTGTGATTCTTAATTCAGTTCCTTTTGTGCCATATTAAACGGTAAAGGAGATTCTTATAGATATTACATTTCCGCCTTGTGCCTTTCACTCGGCTTCATATCCCAAGAATAGGTCACTAGCCGTACGTATGCAATACTAGCTGCTTCTTTTGTCGTCTGAAACCAATGCTGCAAAAATGTTCAGGCGTGATCTGCTAATTAGGTGAAAGAATGGCTGTTTATCTTGCAATGCAAACAGCCGTTGCAGTCTCTGTCCTTGTGCTTCAAATCCTCTCCACACACCATAGTTCATCCTGCAGTCTGTGCTTGCCACAAGTGCTGGAGCTGTGGCTGCTCAGCTGAAACCTGTAGAATAAAGCCAGCAGATATCATCATGTCATTGCAGGACACAGAGTTTGTTTATGCGGACAATGCCTTCATTCATCTCCCTCTACGAGCACAACACTGGTCTGCTGAACTACCGAGCACCAGGTTCAACAAAAAAAAGGGCACTTTGTTTGGTTGAAATATTTCCGCCAACATTATAACTATTCTGGCAATCTCAATATGGGACACAAGAGTCAGTGAAAAGAAATCCATCACAGGGACAGTGTCAAACCTTCCGATGGCTGTTTGACGCTTCAGTGCATTAAAGCAACATGATGCTGCTTTTTTTAAAAATAATCTTAGCTGCAGTGCTTCTCAAATGAACTCCTTAACACGAAAGCAGTTTGCCCTCTGTTGTATTTACCTATATTGCTGTCACTCATCATGAGGACTTGCTCACACCCCGAGGCCGCTGTCAGAGAGAGACATGCAACCCGTGACCCACTCTTGTCTAGCTTTATTGGTCACTGACTGATGCAATGATGAGCAAGTATTTGCGAGCAATCCCAGAATTAAACCAAATTAAAAGATCATAATTTTGTCTCCAATTTTCACTAATTTTTTTGGGGGGTCTTAAGATCCAGTCCATAGTACCAGTCTCTTGACTAGTAAAATGACCACTGTTTTGCAGGCCACCTTCTCTTCCCCCTCCCCCCCCACACATTCCTATCCTTTCTGGTTTTACTGGAAACATGTCAGTCTTTCCAAACTCCGTTTACTTTTGGCTGGAAAAATAGCCTTATAACAACCTTAAAGTCTATCAAGTCAAATGGCCTACAAAGTCACAAGCTATAATGGAGTGTCTACCCGGTCATCCTTCATCAGAATGGAGGTGTCCCTTTACACTTCCTTTCTGATTACTTGTACCGGGGTTGTACTTTGATGAGTTATGGTACTGCTCAGGTGAACAATTCTTGCTAATGGAATGGAATTTCTACAAAATACGCCGTCAATCCACTTTACAGGATATTCTGTGAAGCGCTTTGAGACTTCTCAAAGACATGATAAGGAGCTATAACAAATGCAAGGATTATTATTGTTAATAACAAGCCCCCAACCCCCACTCCCCCAAGTCATTTACAGCAAGGCTAGAAACTTTGCCTGGGTTAGAAACAGTATGTTTCTAACCCAGCCACATTGCTCCACTATCAACTAGGTTTCCCCCTACCCCCATGGACGTTTATTACTGCTTTGAAAATGTGGCCCCCATCTTTGTTCTCTTGTAGCTACATCAGATATGTTTTAAAAACGAGACTTCTCTCAGCTCCAGATTCCGAGAGGTGCATACACTTTATTTAAACTACATGACAGATTCAGTCTATCCTCTGCATGTCAGATCTACAGCTGTGACTTTGACAAGTATCAGCTCAGTAGATTCATTCAACTCTTTAGCAGAATGCTCCACCAACTGCTGACAGTCCTTCCATGGGGCACATTTTAGTGATGAACATTCATCTTCCCTACTGTGACTCAGTCCTGCATGGCAGCATGCAGTATTTTAGAAACACAGAATTGGTTAGCTATGTATGAAAGTGCGTTCCATCTGTTTAGAATAGGTGGCCCGCATATAAATAGTCTGTGAAAAGCATATATGTCTTCCGAACCTTTCCCCGATTTTCCTTTAAACTCACTGCTGGAAGGCACCTCAACCGGTTCTGGCAAGTCACAAGCAATGTCTGTTTACATAGTTTTTTTCATTAAGAGCAGAATGTGGCCTAACAAAAGGATTGTGGCTCTGTTCTTCTCTCAAAGGGTAAGGTTTTCATAGGACTGCTTAAATAGGTTGCACCATGGTCAGTCTGAAGAAATAACTATAAAATGAAACTATTTTCTAATCATCTTTTTTTGGAGGACAGGTTTTGCCTCCTCAGTAAACAGCTCACACAGTCGACAATATTTCCAAATTTTGTCATTGCATTAAACACATAAAAAGTTTCCATGCAGGCACCCATAAACATGTTGATCCATAGCACTGGTTGTTTTACATATCAAAAATTCAAGCACATTTTCAATATATACATGTTTCAGTCAGATGTTTACCGTATTAAGCCGGTGGTTTCATGGTCAACCCTGGGTGGGATGTTGTGCTAGTGCATTGCTTTTCACCTCATTGACCTTGATTGAAATTCATGCCAGACTTGTGTTTAATAAAGGTGTCCTTTGTCTGATTGAAGGCTGCTGAGTCCCAAGTGGAATTAATTTGGCTAGTGCCATTCTGCTTACCTGCAGCCAAAGTACACAACTGCCCTGAATCCAGTTCTATTTTGGCAGTCGTCTCCTAAACAGTTGCAAGGATGAGAATTTAGTTAACGTCAACTTAGTGCTGGCTGAGGGGAGGGAGAGGTCACCGTTTGTATTTAAGATGCATTGTCGAAACATTTGCGGGGATTCTCCTCCACATAGTTTCTGACCTTTATCACATAAAGAATAAGCTCCAGAGTCATTTGTAAATCAATCTGTATGGGCTATTTCACCTCTGGTCATTTCAGGTGAGTGCAGTGAAGCATACAGTGACCGAGAACAACTGTGATTGCCTGTACAGCGGTTTATGTTGTTATAAAATCCCGATCTGTACTCCCGACTCCCTGAGCTGCTGCTGTCTAGTAGCTGTTATTGGAGGTCAAGTGGAAGACATTGCAATGTCCAGCACTATCATCTCTCGACTTTGCTGAGAGTACATTGGGAGAGGGGGAGAAAATTCGTCTGCGTTTATATATTGTATCGGAAACGTTTTCACTCTTGTGCCAATGAATGAACTGCACTTTGTTTCAGCTTTGTAGAAGCAGCACTGATGCATTCTCTTCTTACATACACAAGCAATTAATGTGAAACGGACTGAAGATGTAATTATTGTTGGCATATTGCAGTAGTCTGAACACAGCTCGGGCCTTATTGTAAACACCGATTATGTGATTCTTCAGTCTGACCCTGGCAACACATGATTTACACTTGCTTTTTATATAGACAAGTTTTTGAATGTTTTCTTCTTTGTACTTACTATAGAATGCAGTGCGCCATAATCTTAGTCTTCACAAGTGTTTTGTTCGAGTAGAAAATGTTAAAGGGGCAGTATGGACAGTGGACGAAATAGAGTTCCAAAAACGAAGGCCACAAAAGATCAGTGGGTACGTCCACCGTGTTTGATTGCTTGAACCTCCTAGCATAGCTAGCTCCCATGTAGTTTAACCTACAGCTTGTGGCTGCTTGCAGGTGATGGAGGGGAGGGTGTCACTTGGGTACATCCGTGCTGTCTAGGAAAATCCGGGGCGTGGAAAGCAAATGCTTTGTCACGGCATCCTTTCCTTTCCCCACATTTTCCAGTCTGTGTATTCCATGGTGCCCAACCCACGTTCTTTCCATCTGCTTGCCTGGTGTTTTGCGTCATGTGCTTCTGCTTGCAGGCTACACATATTAACCCCACAAACCATTTGCTTATTTCATTTTTTTTCTCCTTTCCCCTTGCCTACCCCTTTGTGTGTGATTTTTGTTTTTTGTTCCATCCCAATCCCCGTTTGCCCTTGTTTGTCTTTCCATCGCATCTGCTTGACTGCTGCTATAAACCCAGGGTGCCATACGCACCAATTTGTCACTGCATAAGTGCTTTATCAGAGTAGAGGATGAGTTTGGGTCCTTTTGGACTGTTGATGATGAAGAATTTAAACGTGGCCGCCACATTCAACGAGGCCGTCCTCGAAAATACTACCCTGATGAAAGCTTTGATGAACAATTTGCACAGTAAGAGCTTTTGCTTGCTACTATTTTGCTTCTGCTTTGCATTGCATGGTTACCATCTGTCAAGTCTTCTCCTGATTATTATTAGTGTAAGCTAAGTAAGAATTGTTTTCTACAATGTATTGTGTGTATTCTCCTTTCACTCGTTTAAAACTTGCAAAACGGCCCTTCCTGTTGGAATTTAACCAACTTCGAATTCATCCCAAACATTAATGATCTCCAAATTCTGCCTGCAGAACATTTTTCAAGCAGTTGGTTTAAGGAAAGGTTCAGGTGACGACATGAAACTTGTTCCCATGTTGTAACTTCTCCCTGTTCTGGCTTATAACAGGATTGCACAAAGTTCTAATGTGTCACGTTAAAGCGATTTCACACGATAAACTATTGGAATGTTTGCAGTGTACTACAGAGTGTTAAGATGGAAAGAATTTGCCCGTTGGGTTTGCACAGTCATTGTGAAAATGCCACTGCAAATAGATACAAACAAGAATGTTAGCACACGTCCACTTAGACAGAGCAAAGCAAACCTAGAATAAAAGGCAATAGAAGCAGATTCATAAGAGAAATGACAAAAAGCTAGTAATGTGTATGCACGTTCCAATTGCTGGTGTCAAAACTAAGAATGCACAATATCTCTGAGCGTCCACAAGGCTCCCACTCTCAGAGAAGCAGTCACATCTCTCTCCACTTCCCTCCCAGTCTTGTACAAGACCCCAAAGTTCATTGTATCATATAATGTACCAGCTAGTCGCTGTGGGAACCTGACAATTCATCACGACCATTAGGGCTAGTACATCACTTCCAGCTAAACCTGAAGCGTTCAGCAACTCCATTCATCAAACTGAGAACTTTTCCTGTGTCAAACATGCTCAGAGCATTGAGCTATGATGCCCCAGGGCTCTCTGTCAACAGCCCAGTAAGATAACACCACACCTGCGTACGTTCAGAATTGTGTTACAATCAGGCCAATGTGAGACTCTCTATAATATTCACCACTTTCATTAAAGTGCAGAACAGGTTTGGTTAGAGCAGCATTTACACACCACCAAGTAATTGTGGAAGCAATGCACGATTTTCTGCAACTCTACAAAGACTCTCTCTCAACACGCGACCTAACTGGAGATATTTAACACTTACTTTCAATGCAAATGTGAGGAGGCAGGGGAATTGTGAAAGCGTGGGATAACTTATTCACTCTGGCTCTTTTTTGACTCTGCGCTCCCATGCAAAAGCTTCCAATTCAATTCCCCGACCCTTCTGTAGCTTGGCCAAATTTCACAAGATTTCAGCCCCACTTATGCCCCGCCCTGTTTGTCCTCTTAGATGAATAATGACACAAATAGGGAGGAGGTTAAAAAAGTCAAAACATTATAAAACGATGGGAACTCGGAAATCGCCTTTTTAACTTAGGGGAGAGATTGCTAAATGGTTGCTCACTGTGACATATTTTAATATTCATAAATGTTTCTACGTCAAACCATCCTTTCCTTTATTCCAACTGCAAACAGAAAGAATTCTTCAATAAAAAAAATCTGAACGGCACCGCTAGTGTTTAATCTGTTATAAAACTCAGCGGAACCTTCTTATCCTATCACTTTCATCTTTTATCTGATAATACAATTTGATTCCTGTTTCCCTGATGCCTCTGTGGTGAATGCCCGATGTGGTGCTGAATCACATACAGACCAGGAAGGTCTCAGATCCATTCCCCAGGTTTATGCTGAGTTGGGAGCATTTAGACACCTGAAGTGATGAGTTGCTGCGATTGGCTTCAGTTCCTTCCCTCTTTCCCCACCCTTGATCACCCCTACCCCCACCCCAGCACTCTTCCTCTCTGGGCTAGGGAGGAGACCCTGCTGGAAAGTACACATGTATTGGGTGAACAGGTCAGGCTCAGTTGTTACACACCCTTAGTTAAGAAGGCCACAGTCTAAGCTTACAGATAAAAAAAAAGGCCACTTAAGCCGGGTGCCAGAGGCTGCCATGCCCATCGAGCTGTGCCACAGCCCAGCGTGAGTCGCTGCCTTCACAACAGAAGTGGAAGAGCGATACTTAAAACTCCCAAGGAATTATTAGTTATGTAACCATTTCATACAATTCATTCATTAATAGGGTGGAGCCAGTTGCCTTTTTTCTGATGACATCCCTGCATCATTTTAATTAAATGAAAGTCAGTCCTGGATGTGAATTCCCTCTCAACCTGTGATAACTTTTTTTTTTAACATTTCCTCCCTGCATTCTAAATATCATTCATAATTCAAAATTATTTCCGATCAGTTGACTCCTTTTTGACAACTTCACCTGATTGAGATGTTTCCTATTCATATTTTTTTTCTTCTTGTCAATTCAGAGTCATTTCATTTCTGTAAGGCCACTTACAGGTCTAATACTTACCTTACTATTGTTTTCTTGGTTGCCTGATTCATTGCAATCAACTGAGAAACATCTATTTACTTTAAATTCTGAGCCACAAAACTTGTTATCCATCACTTCCATCCAAACTTCTGAACAGTTAAAGATTGCATATTGTTTCTGAAACTATACCTTCGAAGACTATAATCAAAAACTTTCAAATGAAGTTGCAGACATCAGCTACTTTTATTTGAATTGTGTGCACTTGAATATAATGCCACTTTATTTTTGGCACATCGCTTTGATTCAAATTATACAGGGATTAAGGAGGATTATATTTTGTTCCCTGTTCACATCAAAGATCTACAGAGAGACAAATCCATTTACTGAATCACATCCAAATCAGTTATTAAATAAATGACACATTTAGGAGTTTTGCTATTTTTATTGAAGGGGGGAAAGTGGATTTTGTTTGCCTCAAAAAAAAATATCTTAAATCTAACCATGTAGATTAAAATCATTTTAAATTCGACCATTCTTGCAAAGAGCATGAATCCTGTAAAAGTGTTGCCTCCAATTTCATTCTTAATGTACGAGCCTTGACATCGAGTATCAGCAGGCAAGCTGTTCAGCCCTGAGGATTTTATAGCCGAGCCTGTCCTGGCCTCAGGCCACCCCAGTAGCCATTCCAGTAGTCATCATTGGATAGTAGTCTGTATCAGGAACCCCTGTTCTCTTTGCCCTCCCCTTCTCTGCTCTGACCACAACCCAGAGATACTGAAGTTAACAGAAAGGCATCTTCCACAAACGTGACTTAGATCAGATAACTGAGCACAAACAATGGATCGAATCTGCAATCTCCCAGACAGTATTAATCAGCACTACATCAGGCACAGCATTGAAGCTACTCAGGAAAACCACTTTCTTCGATGTTAAGGCCAGTTTAAAAGTTTCCTCTTCTTTTGTTTGACGGGGAGCTTACAATAGCCTAACATAGCAAACCGAAAGCCGCTTACAATATGCCGGTTGCTTACTATTAGTGAATTGTAAATATTATTTATCCTCTCCTACACGCAGCAACCCTTCTATCATAAAAAATCTACAGACCAGTCTTGGATATGGCTCACCACTCAGTGCTGCTTTACAGGTAAGATCAGCGACTGGCGCGCTCGGGTCTGTCGAGTCCACGGTCTCCGAATTCCTCGTTCAATCCGCAAAATGACTCTTGCACTAATTAGATATTAAAATTTAATTTCTTTAAACTTTTTAAGTGCGCGAGGCATTAAAGCCCTGGGGCGTCCGCATTGTGAGCCACTGGAGCATTAGCTGGTTGTTTCACATTTTGAATATTGTGGCAAAAATTAAAAGTTCACTTATTAATATTTATCAGTGGTATCATAATTTCCACCATCTTATTTCAGAATGTTGCTCAAGGCGAAAACACCACAAGTGTAATTACTCCGGCACAACTATTAATGTGCTGAATGATGGGATTCAGTGTCACAGGCCCCCCTATTGTTACTGACTTTAAGAAGGAAGCACTAGGGCAGCGTGAATTCTGCTCAGTTTCTGTTATCATTAACATTTTATCTTGGAGCGCAAACCCATTGCAGTTCAGTCATATTCCCCCCCCCCCCCCCACCAGTACTAGTGTGGGTTCATAACCCACACAATCTGCTTCCGCTGCCGTAGGGAGGGTGTCCGAAGCGATAAACATCTACGCTACATCGTGGCACAACAATAATTCTTGCATTTGATCTAGCGCCTCATCACTGGTTGAGAAGCCTCAAGGCGCTTCACAGCGTATACTGTAAAGCGAATTGATTGTATATTTTGTGGGCGAAACAAGGTGCTATTGGAAGCCTCACAGGTCCCACTCCCCTGAAATGAAAACCGCCTACCACTTAAGTCGCGCAACCTTAAGAGAAACCTGCCGAGACTCACCCAACTGGGAGGGCACCTCCCCAGTGAGAGGCGGCCCTGCACACATCAATGCCCGGTCGGTGCATGAGTCAATCCACTTGGTGATTTTTGTGTAATTTTTTCACGAGGCATCAGCCAAAACATGCAGATAGGGTTATTGAGTTTTTATACCACATTGGGCTCATTGTGCCAATTCTCTGAGCGAGCTCTCCCCATCCAGTCCCACTCCCTGTACCCATTTCTCATTTTTATTGTTGAAATATACGTTTAATTCCGTCTCAAAAGCCAGCGGCCCAGGTGGTTTCTGCTTCAACCACAGTTTTTGGTGGGGCAGTCACATTTTAACATCCGTGTTTGTGTTTTTTTTTAAAAAACAGAACACTTTAGACATTTCGAAAGCAACATTTCTGCTCGTTTTATTCTATCTGATGATCTGCCCCAAAACATTACTAAGTATTAGGCTGTAACATGCACTTGCTTAACTAAAGAGGCGTCCGCAATACAATGGTATTGACAGTGAAGATAACATATCTGTCCTCTTTTGACTCTTTAGGCATATACTGACCCCTGACATGAGGGGGTTGGGTGGGAGAGAATGAGGAAGAACGTTAATAGGTAGCTAGAAGGAAAATAGTAAATACCATTTGCTGTCAGCTTGCAGTCCTCGGGGACACATCTAATAGTTTTAGAGCCTATTTTATCTTGCAGAAGGTATTAAAAATTGCAAGCAGTTTTGTAGCTTTCTACATATTATGTGCCATAAAAAAGTGCTGGCAGCAATCTCCAACTTCTATGCACATCATTGTGGTATTTAACCAATGTGTAATTACTGCATTTGACGTACTCACTCCAGTAATAAGAAGTACATTTGTGCTCAAATGTTCTCCTCCCGATTTGCAAAATGGAGTGCATATGAACAGGGCAAGTGCACAGACACAAGGACATGCAGACATATATTAACCCAGATTATCGGGAAAATGTTTAGTAATAAAAATGAACTGTGTTGGGGGGAGGGGGGGGCTGCGGTGGGTGATCATCTAGTTCTTTCAAGACGCAGTGTGCCTTGGCAAAAACAGACACGAGATTACTTTGGTGATCCTTGAGGCATAAAGTTCCTAATCTCAACCAAGCTCTGGTTTGTGTGAAGCCCAAGATAGGATGATGCTTGGCTAACGGTTACCCTTTTGGGTGAGCATGCGAATGTGGCACGTGCAACACACCCAACCAATTGCTCCAGTCTGCTCCTCGTATTCAGTCAGTAGGACTCTCGGCTCAGGGGCGAATGCTTTGTGCCACGCCTGGACTTTAAGCTCACAGCCCAGGCTGACACGCCCTCTGATGAAATGCTGACATTGTCCATTTGATGAGACATGAAACCAAAATCCCATCTCGGTTTATTTTATGTATTTGTCCCAAAATACCCAAATCACTGATTCTGCAGGATAACCTGGGGGGTAGTCTCTTGCACCCTTCCCCCCACCCCACCCCCCATTTACACGTCTAGTGCGAACACAATGTTTCCCCATATGGTAAGTCTGTAACTACATTGTGTGTCAGAGACTGAGCGGTAATAAGCTGCTTGCTGTAGAGGGCAAGGGAACATTAGCCAGTGAGCTAATCGGTTCAGTTGAAACCATGTCTTTTCTTTAAACCAATTTTCCTTGTGTGCTTATAACAGGCTTCAATGGCTGAAAATAACATACCTCTGTACACTACTGCTTCCATGGGTCATCCCACTATAGCCACCATGGTGAGTAATATCCATGAGGAGCTAAATGGTGCAGTGGAGCATGCAAATAGCAACGAGAGTGACAGCAGTCCAGGACGTTCTCCACTGCAAACTATGTGAGTACGCTGAAGCAATGCTTTCTGTCGTCCTCTCCGTCTGTTCGTTTTCCCCTAGTTTCATATCCCTCACATTCCAATAATATTCTAAAGGGTGGTCAATCCTGTCTTTTTTTGATACACTTCCAACACTGTTTTTTAGTTAGGTCTAGTTAGGTTATAGATAGCTGCTGCTAAGAAATGTTAATGTGTCCATCAAACCTTTGTCCTCCATAAAAAAACTTTTGATCTTCACAGTTGTAATCATTCCAACTTCCAGGTGCTTAGTTCAGTTTTATTGATTTTTGAGCCCTTTGCCATTGAGTGCAACTGTGCAGTTCAGTCTGAACTGAGCTTTTTTTTGTAGTCAAAAGTTGCCTACAGGCTTCTTTCAAACAGTAGACACTGAATAGAGATGAGGATGAGAAGCATGAATTAGCGATACACCTGTGATCGTGCTTCATGCTGGCAAGATGCAGACTGGGTTTCGGAGTCGACGTGGCTCAGTTGATAGCACGTTCCCCTCAAAGTCAGAAGGTTGTGGGTTCGAGCTCCACATCAGGACTTGAGCTCACAGTCTTTGCCAAAGCTCCCAATGCATTGCTGGGGATTGCTGCATTGTTTGAGGTGCCTTACTTCAGACGAGCCATTAAACCAACTGTTTAAACTGTTCTGTTGGGAGTCGAGTAACATGTGACACTCTTCAGTGTCCTCGCCAACAATCCAACAATTCCTCCCTTCCCCCCCACCCCCCACATTAAAAAAAACTTAAGTCATTCACCTTCCTCCCTGTTTCTGGGTCACTGATGTGCACAAATTGGCCACCTACAAATACACAGTCACTACACTTTCACAGAAAACTGCAAAACACCATATAAATGCAAGAATCGTTATTAGAAACTTTGGCTGTCATGCCCCTCCTGAGGTCGGTCGGTTTTCAGCCCCCACCCCCCATGGCGGCAGAAACAGCAACTGGGACAACAAGTTAACATCCAGCTCTCTGCCCCTGGATGTTATGGTTTAAATATGTGGCGGGGTGGGGAGGGGGAGGTGAAGGCAGCTGCAGCTGAGCCAGCCCCTACAGACCATCTATGATTTTTTTTTTACTGGCCCAAACGGACCTTTTTTTTCAAGAGATCAGATGGAAAATCCACAACTAAGAACCGATTTCATGCCTGTCAGCTTGAAACCAGATTCTCAATTTCAAAAGCCAGCTTGGCGCTGTGATGGGACAAGGTAGGGCAGGGATTCTGGAAGGATGAGATCCAAACTAAGCTTCTGATCTTGTGAATTTTGAGTGCGTCCACATACGCCTGTTCACGTTGCTTCAGGGAAAAGGTCCCAGCACCTTCAGCTTCACGGCGCTTCTAATAAAAAAAAAGGTGCAGCAATTTGAAGTTAATGCCTTGCCTTGACTCACTCCACTAAAACTTGGAGGGAGGAATTTAACGTTATCCTAGGTTTCTCTCCCCCTCCCCCATTTAAATTTTTTCCAACTACTGTATCTCTCTGGTGTCAGGGTGAGCAGGTGTTACTTCCCCCCCCACTTTGCAAAGTCTGTTGGTATTTGTAGCAAGGTGTTGTTAAGAGGAACCTGGTTTAAAAACTTGCCTGATGATTTTCCCCCCCCTCCCTTCTCAGGAGATATGGCTTTCCCCTGGACTCACCAGCTTCTATCTCAGCACAGCTGAAATCAGGAATTCACCTTATGAGCAACCCCAGGTGCGAACCCACATCCTATTACAGCCTGCTTATAGTCGGTCCCAATACGCCATTCTACACCTCCGCTTGTGTGTGTGTGTGTGAGTGTGTGTGTGTGAAAAAAAAGCCCAAATTGTTTTGATCTCAAGGTTCTTTAGAATACAATTGCAACGCAATTTACATTGCAAATTTACATTTACAACCACAAAGCGATTATAAAAGAATTGACATTTGCTAACTGTCTTCTTGCTGTTGGATTGGAAATGACTTGAACTTTATATAACACCTCTCAGATTAGGATAGCATCTCAAAGTGCTTGATGGGGGACGGTGTGTATCACCGGGGAGGGGAAAGGGAGGGGGTTAGGGTGAAATTGACTGAAAGTGCGGTCGAAGGGGTAAATACTCATCAGGGTCTAAAAATAGGGGTGGGGGGGGCAAGAGAGATAGAGCGAGGACGTAAGGCGAACACATTTTGGGAGGTGATTCCAGAGAGCTAGTGGCAAACTCAGGATCAGACTAAGTTTTGGAAGAACTGCTCAGTGCGTGTTGCTTCTCTAAAGGGTAGTGATCCGCTTCCAAGTTGAGCAGCAGCAGCAGCGGTGAGTGCATCAGGAGAAGGCGTGGAACGTGACACAAGACGAACTGTCAAGCTAGCAAGTGCTGCTCTGTAATGAGCGCTTCACATGGCAGAGCTGTGTGAATTCCACAGCTGTATTTCCTGTGATCTCTTGAAAAATAACCATTCAAACGAGGTTGAGTATACAAATTCAAAAAGTGGGATAATTAGATCCAGGGTGGCCTACAGCAAAGACAGCTTCTTTTTTTTTAGCCTTTTTTTAAAATATAACTTGCTTACTGTACAATCCTTTGCATGTTTTTTTTTGCATAAACAAATGATGCCGATAACAAAACATGTTCAAACAAAGGTGTTGAATATTTTTCTGCCTCCAGCCACTGTAAACCTAAAAGTTGTAATAAATTTTGCCGAATAAAACTGCTCATTCACTTGCTTACATTATAAGCTTAAAATAATATGCTGCAGACAGCATCATTGCCAGGCATTAATGGTCGCTCATATGAAAGGCTACATGATTTATAGATCACTCTTAAAATATCAAAAGGAAAATTAATAGGAGCATTATAGTACCAGACGGCAGTATAATGAGCGCATATATAACAGTATGAAGTAATGGGAGATTGCTGTCCACGCTAAGTATGGATGGCGTTGAGGGCAGAATGGAACAGGAAGGGTAAGGCAGGATGGGTGGGTTGCTGTCCTATGGGTGTTCGTAGTATTTATAGGGATTATTGAGCAAGTTTCTCTCTCTCTTGCTCCCCCCCCCCCCCCCAACTCTCTCTCTTGCTGACTCTGGGAAAAAATACATCTTATTGCAATCTTTAAAACTGTCAATACGAGAGGAAGTTTCAATGCATGTTGAGATTATATTTTTGATTAATCAGTGCGGTTTGTTGCATTTTGTTACATCTGCTTTACATCTCATAATTTGATTCTGGCCCAGAGAAAAATTAATGCCCAAATTACATTAAAAAATTGGAGAAACTGGTCGAGTTTCCCCGATTTGACGCAGTCGGAGTTAACCGATCGAAAGCTAAACATGTCAACGTGTACTTTACACTCACTCTCCGGCTTATTGGCAAACATCGGGTCACCTGCATTTTGCAAAAAAAACGCACATGTTGTTCTTTAAAATTGCATCTGTTTACTCTAACACATGTGGTTTGTTGTGCACAGAATGTACCTTTAGATAAAAATCAACATCACTTTGAACTTAATGTAAAGACTGCACAAGGGAAGCGCTGGGTGAAAAAAATAGAACACAGCAATAGTTATGTTAAACCACTTGCTGGTCTAACAAGAGTGTTTAAAACCCCCTTTGCATTGCTGTTGAAGCCTTGTATCCCCTCTTCAAACACTGTAACAACAAAGTAAGCATTGTTAGCGAAGAATTTCTCTCATTGTGGCTACGAGCCACTGAGGCTTTTGTTTTCTTTGAAACGCTGGAAAGTACACATGCAGTAGAATAATTACGGCTCCAGGACAGCGCACTTTCATCCTGACATGCTCCAAAGGTATAGTCACAAAGCAAACTGTGCCATGCTGTGTGCATCAGTGGAGCACAATATATGTCGAAACCAGCAGAGCTTCATTGAAAGCCCTTTCCGTCCTGTCCCAGCCCCGAAGAAACAAATGAATTATTACAATGTGAAAAGCGCCAGATAAGGATTGGAAATGTATTTGCGCACATGTACCCAGGGTGATCAGGGGGCAGGGTCTGTGTGGGTGGTGGGTGGCATTCATCGGGGAATGAGCTGGGAAAAGGAGAAGTGGAGGTGTGGGGAGGATGAGAGGGGGCAGCAGAAAGAGTCAAATACGCAGTTGCTGTGTTTTTTTTTAGAAAGAAAAGCAGTGAATGCCTTTAAAAAGTGACTTGTTTTGAAAGCAGCAGGGCGTTCTCTACTTTTCCACTTTACTTCCTGTTTCAGTGTATGATAGTTAAGCAAAAGAAACAAACCCATCAAGAACACACACTGTCTTTCATTTTTTTTTCAAAAAAAATACTCTGTTCGCTCAGGAAAAGGCACTGTTTGCTCACTGGCATGTTTACATGAGCTTCCTGACAAAGCCGCCCCCTGTTTTTTTTTAAAAAAAATCTATTTGTGTTTCTGACTGGATTGTTGTAAATGTGATTTACACAGGACATTTTTCAATTGATATCACTGTGGTTTCATAAAATCAACCCACATTCTCCCCATGGGTTATTCATGTGCTATTCAGTAATGAGAATTTGGCAGATCTCATCTCCTTAGTGCATCCCTTGCCCAGTCCAAGGGCTAGGATCATGTTTTGCCTTGTTTACAACTGACAGCATTATTATTCTCGTTAGGAATGCAGTTCCTTATCGCACTGTTGTGTTTAGTGGGCTTTTTCCTTTCAGCCTGTGTTTCCTGGCAGCGCTTTTCTTCCATTATTGACAGTTTGTAAAAATATGCATTAATTTGGAGTTTAAAGCATGTATCATGGTGTCTAGTTGCTGTGTTCGGTTGAAGTTGATTAATGATAGAACCTCACTCAGGGTCATCCTCCAGAGACAAGGCTCACAGGTTCTGCATGTTAACTAGAGCAGTGCTGCCCGCCGTGCTCGCTGATCAGACTTCGCTAGGTGCTTGACAAACAGCTGCTTTGTTGTGCTTATTCTCATTTAATTTATGTTTTCTGGACGTTGTAAATCTATTGCATTATCAGTTTAAAAAATCATTTTATTTCAGTTACAAGCGTTTTCTCTGTAGATGGTGTCGCTTGCCCTTTCTCCTCCTCACCCCCCTCCCTCCTCCTCTTGCAAAAAAATATTTGTTGAAGCTTCCTCCGATATATAATAATAATAATCTTTGCATTTGATACAGCGCCTTATCACATCTTCGAGACGTCTCAAAGCGCTTCACAGAATATACGGGTAACATGTAGTGACTGTATATTTTGTGGTGCAAAACACCAATTGTGCACAGCAGTGTCCCACAAACAGTTGTCGATTGAGTGACCAAATTATTATTTTTTTAAAAAAATCTATTTTGAAGTTATTAGCCCCGGAAAGCGATCTGCCAATCGACTAAGAACCGGGTTCCTACATACTGCAAGGTGAACAGAGGCGTGTAGAGTAAGGAAATTTGCCCAACACGTCGCCCTGCCCGGGAATCGAACCCAGGTCCTCTCGCTTGCGAGGCGAGTGTGCTAACGACTACGCCAATGGAGTTCCAGAGAGTGGGGACACAATGGCGATGGTGGGGAAGATATTTCTCTTTTCCCCTGTTAAATCAGAGTCTGATAGTGATGTGATTCTGTTGTAGGTATCCTATCCATGTTAAGGAGGAACCTGTGGATGCAGAAGAGATGGAGGAGGGTCCACTTTCCTTGGTGACAACAGAAAACCATAGTCCAGAGCTGGACAATCACAAAGAATATGAAGAGGACCAAGGGAATGAAGACATGGAATGAGCATGTTTTCGTCATTTCCTGAGATGAAGATATATATTAAAAAAAAGAGCGAAAGTTTGTCAGACTTACTTGTGAGATCTCTCCATAGTGTGGCAAGTTTGGAGGAGTTTCAGTCCCTTTTTTGACAAAAGTAATGAAATGTTTTAAAACGACTTTTAGTGCCATTGAGTATCCCGTTGGGGGAGATGTTTCTGATTTTTTTCTACTTTTTTTGTTGGAAAAAAAGGAATTTGTATTCTACATACATTGGATGGACTTGTTTGGTACTTGGGAATTTCCTCTCCTGAAGTCAATGTCAGTGTTGAAAGTTGCTGAACTGTGCAGTCATACACACACAGACTTTGGACTGCAGTCCTGCCAAGTTGGACTCGTGGGTGAAGGGGTGGGTCGGGGTGAGGGGGGGGGGGCGGGCGGGCGGGCGGGCGGGCGGGGAGAAGGGGCTTCTGATCGAAACTGTTCATAGTTCAAAACTGCAGGTAGAGCTCTTCCCAGAATGCTCATATTTCAAATGGAAGACTGGGGCTTAAACTGATTTGCACAGTACTGGGAGTGGATTGTTTTAATATCACTGCCTTTTGATCCACATTTGTTTCCATGGGGCTGGGGGAGAAGGGAGATAATTTGTGAAAAAAAAATGATTTAGCTGAAATTTTATTGTGTCTCTGTTTGCTTCTGCTGTGCCCTAGCAGTTTTTATAATCTCTGGAGGACCTCATTATGCTCTATGTTCAGCAGTAGTGGTTGAATGTGTGTGTGTGTTTTTTTTTTAAAAAAACCAATGGAACAAAATGCCTGACATCGATTTGTAACACACTCGGTAGTTTTTCTGTCATCCATTCCCCTTTTAAGATCGCCTAAAAGTTGTTGTTTTTTGTGTGTCAAAAAAAAAAAGTTGAAACCTCAGGCCAGTTTTTATTCTGTGTACACTTTAACTATACTGCTTATTCCATTTGCTTTCAGTCAGCGATCAGTGGGCCCTACATTTAGCCTCAACTGACGGGAGGGAGTCTGCAGTCTACTGCTCTGCTCTTGAGGATGGTACATTTCTAGGAAAGTTGCAGTAAAACAACAAGGGGAGAGAATGACAGAAAAAGAAAGGCACGATTTATTACACAGCCCTTATCTCCTGCAATACATACCATAGAAATGTTTTTATTGTTCGGGTTCACCAAGCAGGAATCGAGCCAAATTAGAACGAGTGGAAATTTTGTCTAATCAATTAATATACATTTACACTGCAGTCAAGCTTCTCACTTCAGGCTGTGTTAAGTAGCTCAGTAGGTAGAGAGATTTGTTTTCATCTTTGTGTTGTTTTTTTTCTGCGACTTTTTAGATAAATTCACGGTAGGTGGCGAGAGTAGAAAGCTGTGCCATTGGGAGCTTGGCTTGCGAGCTTAAAATGATCCAAACCCTTGCACCCAGAACGCAATTCTGTTAATATAGGTCATAGAATTCTTTTCCAAGAACACTCAAAACACCTTTCCTGCTTCAAGGCTGTGACTGGTCACTTTTCTGTCAACCCCCCTCCGCCCCCCACCCCCCCCTCCCCCCCCCCCCCCCCCACCCCTCATGTATTTATTTAGGACAATAGATTTTCAGTTAAAGAAGCTTTCGGAGCTGTATTTATTTTTTCTTTTTTTAAAAAAATCAGATAAATTTTCTGAGATTACCAAAGATGATCTAAAAGGTAAATTATATGTTCTTCTCTGTTTGATGCTTTATCTGATGAAGCCAAATATCCTCTTATTGTTGATCAAAAGGAGGTACCAGAATCTAGAGAGGGAAATGGCTAAAAAAAATGGACGGATGCATAGACAATAAGTAACCTGTGACTTCAAAGGCTCCTCTTTACTAGTGTCTTGTCAACGGGCCTAAAGTTTGTGACTTGAACCAAAGGTATTATCTCTGAAAATTCACATTTTGTTTCCCCCCCTACGATGATCAAGTCAACTTGCTCCATGTGGGAAGATGGAATTGGAGAAACATGTGACCAAACCAGGGAACTGTATCACAGAGGCCACACACACACACACACACACACACACAAAAGGAGCACTCCATCACGAGAAGGTGAATGTAGATCCTTTCTGTGCAAGTGGGAGTAATGCAAAGAGATGGTGAAGATGTAAGATTCCAGTGGTAATACAGAGAGCAAAGGAATAGCTTCCATGACTGGACTGGACGGACCACATAATGGTGTTTTAGGTTAACATTTGTTATGGGCGCTGTATTTGAAAGACAGTCCGCCACTTCTGTTTGGAGACCAATATCCTTTCTTGTGCCAAGGTCACCAATTTTGGGTTTACCGCGGCAACCACCTTCCACACGTGTTTGGTTTTGTTTCAGCATTCTTCGTCAAAGAACACACTCCTGTGCACTCATACATACGCTTGGTACAAGAGACATTGCAGCAGTTAATTTTGTTTTTGAGCTTAATCGTGCTTTCTGTTAAAAGGGCAGTCTGTGGTCTTTTTCATGAAAACAACCCTATTTGTAATGGCATTCCAGGCAGCTTCATGAGGATGTGCAGGCAGTAGCTAAATGGGATTATGAGAAAAGATCCCATGTTTTCAAACTGAGTGGTCTGTTGGCTAGCTCTGTATTTTGAGGGGAATAAGGAGATGGTTAGATTAGTACATTCTCAGCATGTGTAGCTAGACATGACTAAAGTTAACAGCATGAGAAACTGTTAGTACGCATACCTCAGTTCAAACGTTTAGGGAATGAAAAATAAAACATTTCACTCAGTTGCACTTAGTTGTATGTCTTGCATGTTTTAGTCTAAAGATGAGCAGAATTAGAGCTTGCATATCTAGCAGGTGCCACAGCCTTTCAGCAGAACCAACTCTGAACCTCAGACTCTTTATGTACAGGATTCCGATACGATTGAACATTGTCACCATATATCCCTTTGGATATACAGTTGCTTCTAAAGGGTAGGGGTTTGTTACGATGTACATAAAATATCCCAATGTGTCGGCGCAAGCCTTTGTCTTTTTTTCTGTTTCTTTTTAAAACACTTGTTTCTTTTAAACAAAAGACAAAAAAAACATATCTGTTAAATCACATTTGCTTTTTGTGCAACTGCTTTGTATTGACTATATTAAAGAAAAAAAAGCTTTGAAAAACTACTGTATGTATTGAAACTGCAAAAATGTTCTGCACATGTATTTTACTTATTAACCCTTGCTTTGAGAATTACAGAAGACAATTGCTGACAGTTGGGAGTAAAGTTCCCTTACTTTTTTTTTGCTTTAACTGTAGTACAGTTGACAGAATTTTAAGTTTCCATTTGAACGAAGCATTTTGTACAGTTTTGTTTGTGTTAGGCTGTTTTGATACTTCCCGCTTACAAAGGTCCAACCACTGCCCTCTGCAACGGTCTTAAACATTTGAAGGATTTGAAGAAGACAGTTTAACAAAATAAAAGTCATTTCTCTTCCTGCTGTCATGAATACTTAGCATGAGGGATTCCAGGGCCAGTTGCAGTGAAGTAATGATTATTAAAAACTGGGGAGTGTCAACCTGTTGAATAATTTTTTAAAAGAACTTTACAAGGTGCCAAGATGTAAAGATAATTTGTTATATGCTTTTTCTCTAAGAAAAGCGTACATTATCATGATCGAAGTACCATGATTCAGGTAACTTCAATGTCAGGAATGAGAGTCACAGCCTTCTATACTGTCGAGAAAGAGAGAGAGAGAAAAAAAAAAGCCAGTGAATATATACCATCTGATTGTTTCTTAAAGGTTGTTTGAAAATGGTACAGACTGGGGACGTTGTGTTATCATGGTGCTTTGAATGTTGTTGCTGCCAGTTAAGAGATTATTGTAGAGGCATATAGGAACTCATTCCTTACATCAGTGTAATCCATCATTCCATGTCTGTTGATGCAGACAATAAAAAAATTCATGTGTGTAGTCAGTACTAATTACTGACATTAGCATTCTCAAATGCAATAAAAATGCTGGTTGTTCACACTGTTTGCAGCGTTATCATTTTGAGGGTCTGCGTTTAAACCCAAAGTGATCACTTTCCAGCGGTGGTCTGTTTCCGATATTAAAAATTCCCTCTGAAACAGATGAAATGGCTAGTTATCAAACACCATTCTGACATTTCCTGACCCAGCCGTAAAGATGACCAGGACAAGTGGCAGTACTTAAACATTAAATTTTCCCCATAATTAATAATGGCGGTTAAACTGTCTCCTTGTAACAGCAATTTAGGTAACTGCATTTGATCAGCTATAAATTCTAACTGCATTAAAATTCTAGAAATATTAGTAATATGGATTTCTTGATGGAAATTATTGCTGATCACAAGTGGTTTGTTTTAACGACCAATGCACAGGTTATGTTGGCCACAAAACTGAGTACACAGGTCAAGTCTGTACACTTTTAATCTTGTGAAACAAGCAATTACAAATAGCTGCATCGATTTGTTAAAAAGCTTTAGGTGACATGAATTGTTTCCAGTTTATATTATTGCTCAGGCTTATGAATGTCAGGGGGGGATCATTTTAATTTGGGTCACGGAATGATCAGGGTTGCCACAGGAAATGTGCAATCAAATATATGATTACCTTGCTATCCAAATCTCTCCCTTTACCCTCTTTCCCACTCCCCGCCCCACTCATGGAATCTCCACTTTGTTGGTATGGCAGGTTGACGTGAAAAAAAAAAACCTTTGGCTGTTTTCGCAAAAATGTTCAGAAAAATTTGTTTAGCAAATATTAGCACATGTTGTAATGGGATACAGAAGTAACTCTATACTTGCATTCCTCATTAACTTGACCTTTTTTTAAAAAAAACACACACATGCTTTTTATTATTCTGTGCACAAGTAGAAAATCCACATCTCGAAAATTTCCATCCAGCTCGGAATGTCTCTGGCACGAGCACAGCTGAATAATTCAAAATACTTAAGCCTAAAGAGAACAAACAATTCGAGACGTTTCAACAGCTGGTATGTTTCTTATTGAGGATTCATTTTAGCAATGAAGGTAATCCATTTTTTTAAATTAAAAAATACCTTGCTTGGTGCCGAGAACGAGCATTGAACTTGGCATTAAAGTCTTTACAATAAGTGGTATTACAACACAATAATAACATTAAATTATCCATTTGCTGTTTTTGTCCACTCCGGTTCAATTCTGCGAATGCTAATTATAGGGCAGTAAAAACATTGCCTGGCAATCCAGGTGAAAGCACATTAAATATATGGAACTAAAAACACCCAATTTAATAAATAATGAGCAAAAACACTAAATGCGCTATATTGTCCATTTGCTACAAAGACGTATTCAATGTGTTTATTTTGAAATCGGGGGGTTGAGAGTACAGCACTGAAGTGGAAGTCTTACGCATTATCGGATTGTGA